CCCTTTTCTTTGTTGCTAAGAGTTTCTCTTTCCAGAAATTTAAACTTTTGTGCTTGTGTGATGTTGACAACCCCAATTCATAGTTCGCATTCTTGACCCATTTTCTTGCTGACAATCATTCATTCCGTCTTCTTAAAGTTGAGGGTTAGTCCTTTCTTCTCGCCTTCCTTTATTACTTTGTCTAGGTCTTGTAGTTTTCTTTCTGTGTTTGCCATTGACACAGTACCATTTGCGTATCTTATGTTAAGATTGCACCCACCGCTAATAAATCCTTGTAGAGTCTCCAGATCCCTTAGGATAAGCCTTGCTGTAGAGGTTGAATACATCTGGTGAGAAGACTCATCATTGTCTTACACCTTATTCTATTTTTGTGTATCTCCTCATTTCATTTTCTACCCATATGCAGGCGGTTTCATTCCAGTGTAAGTTCTGGACTATTCTAATATCTTTCCCAAATAAATCAAGTCTCTTTCTCGCAGTTCAATTAGATTTTTGTATTGTACCTTATCAAATACTTTTGCATAATCTATCCAATAAAACTGTACATCCATCTTCATTTTTATTGCTCTCTTCGATATCATTCTGGACATAGATATAGGATCTTGCTCTCTTGCTAATACCAAATATAAAACTAAAGTAAAAATCCCAATGAAATGATGAAGAGAAGTTTCTATACGTTCTTAGTCGTTTACGAGATGAATAACATGGATTTTAAAACAATGAAATATTTATATTTTTAAAATAGCAATTTAGTTCATAGTGTCTTTTACAATCATTTATAAAGATTTGTTTTTGTTGTAGTTAAATACGGGAAATTTTCAAGATTCGGTCAGTTCTTTGGTTCAAGGGGAAAAGCTTTAAACTCAATATATGTCTGTCTAACATTCAACCACTGAGCTACACTTCCCGTCAGGTCTTGTTTTTTATGTTCTGCCCCGTTTGAGTTGTTAGTCGTTTTAGCGTGAAATACCTTAATTAGTTGATTTCGGATATTTCTTTTCAATCTCTATTCTCTTGAATACTTATTTGATTCTTTATTTTATTTTCAGTTCCTGTTCCTAGTTTAATTTGTCGTTCATCTTAGGGGGAATTTCATTAAAATTAAATAAGTTTTTTCAGCGCTTTTTTTAATTGGATATAGCAGAAAGCAAGAGCAGGTATCAGGTAGAAACAGGAAAGAAGCCTTCATGTTTTTGACCCCTTCCCCTATTCTGCCATATTCTTCGAAATTGGATTTGTTTGAAATCTTTGAACATCAATTTAAGGAAGGAAAATAAAGAAAAAGTTTCAAAGTTACAATATCCATTCGTAACATAGGTTCAGGCAGTGAAGTGAATAGAATCTCCCTAAGACAACATCTGTAGTTCGCTCTTCTTTATTTACAGATTTGTATTTGCTTCAACAGTTTTGAAAGTTTCAAAAAACGTTTAGACTTAAAAACAAACTAATGTTTGAGTTTGAAGTTTAAGTAATTGACAAAAAACAAATAAGTATTAAGTATTACCTTTGTTTCATCATCGTTGTTACATTGAGTATATGAAATCTGTTATCAATGTTATATCTCTATCTATAAAAGGCAGGAGTTGTGTGTGTGTGTGTGTGTAACGAATTCACGGCCGCACTTTTCGACTGATTTGCACCAAAATTTGCATGCACATGCTCCAAGTTAGCGGTAAGACCAAGACCGACTTTGCATTTCCCAACTCCGATCGATATTGGAAATAATCGATTTTTTCATGCTTTTACGGCAGTTTTCATGTACTTTGCGGCCATTTTCTACTGACCAGAGTGAGAGCCTATAGCTGGCTGCCACGAATAGGCAGGAAGATTCTATCGGCCAGCGTGAGAGTCAACAGCTGACTAACACGAATGTTAACTAGCATGCTAGCATGCAAAAAAAAAAAAAAAATCGATAGCTGCATTCGTCACAAGTGGGAAAGATTTAAAGTCTTTTTTTAAAGCTGATTGTTTTGTGTTCATTTTGTTTAGTTCTTTTTTCGTAATAGATTTAATGTTTAGTATAGAGCTTAGAAAAAATTCGCAGTGTGAGATAGGCAAGAAGTAAGGCATGTAGCAACATCAGCACGGCAAAGGGCACTCCTTTAAAGGCAAGGAAGGGCAAAAGTATTTTAAGTCAAGTGATAGCCATTGCTGTATGAGTCGTACGATTTTTGAATCAAGCACAGGCAACGCCGGGCCATGCTGCTAGTTTGTAAATAAAATCAAAATAAAAGATAAACTTCATGCAAAGTTCTGGTAAGTTGACGCACTCTTTTCCGTTTCAGGTTGCAGTTTACTATTTGGTTCCATGTAAACGGCTTATGTCAAGTCGCTCTACGAGTAACCCAGTACTATCTGTCGCAGAATCGGTTCATCGGCGACTAAATCATTTCTTCCACTAGACTTTTTGGTGAAGTGGGCGGCTAGACACTCAGCAAGAATAAAACCAAGACCTGTCAAAAGGTGAATGAGTCGTCTAGCACAATCGTTTCGACTGTACTCCTTAGTTATATACGCAGTTAGACCGGTGATAACACAGCATCACTGGATGGACGGCTTTCTAGACTGAAGTCAACGGCGAAGGTAGAGGGTTCTCTCAATTGAATAAACGACCAGGTATCAATGACCAAGTCTGTTGTTTAACATGGAGAGGATATATATATATATATATATATATATATATATATATATATATATATACAGGGTGATAAATATTTACCCATTATTTAAACATAAAAGTTGCCATTATTTAAAAAAATAAATTAAAACATGTCTTTTCGTAAAAAAAAAATTCAACTTTTACATAAGGCTTCCTAATATTCTTTTGTCTTATTGTTTAGAGTTTAATTACAAAACGTGATCAAATTGTCACATTGAACATGTCTGTTATGAAGAATTGTGAGGCGATAAGACAGTCGAATGTTTGTAGAAAAACTTTTTTTAATGTGTGGAAAAAGTTTCAACAAGAGCAAACAACTTCATCAGTTAAATTCCAGAAAAAAAACATTCAGTTCGTTCCAGGAGAGCCATTGAAGAGGTTGAAGAGATGTCTAACAAGAAGCATAAAGAAGATGGCAAAAGAGTTGGATATTTCGGATAGGTCACTAAGGAGTGTCGCGAAAGAATTTACGATTAAAACCAACGACGACAGCCTAGCCTTCAAGTAAAATGGCTTGACAAAGGGAAGTAAATGTTGGAAGAGATGTAGCGTATCACAAATAATGGTTTCGCTTGGTCGGACGAGAAGTCGTTCACTGGAAAGATTGTGGTTAACTAGCAAAATGATAAGGTTTACAGCATGTCCCCAAGATATATTCCCAAAGGTTTTAGAATACATTTCAATCTACAAAAAACGCCTAGCATCATGGTTTGGGCTGCTGTTATTTTTGATGATGTGAAAGCACCCCCTTGTTCATTGAAGGATGAGTAAAAGGGAACGGCAGAGTTGATCAGCAATTGTTAAAGATATATGTTTCCCTGGTTGTCAACCACATTTAAAAGTCACTATGTCTTCACTCAAGACAGAGCACACGGCCAATTTGACGCAGAACTTTTGCAAGAGACATTTTTGTGAATTTTTTGACATTGGACGTTGCCACGTGGCCCAGATTGGGGGAGGGGACAATATTTCACGAATCTCATACTTATGTGTCTAAAAGTTATTCTTCTTCTATATTGGTTTATTTAAGTTGTTTCTTTTATAAATACATATACTCTATCGAACTTCGAGTTAAGAAGGAACGTGATTCCGACCAGAAACAGACAAAAATGAACACATATTTTCATATAAAAGAAACTGGGCAAAAACTGGGAGAAAAAGTTTGAAAATGTTATTTGATGATATAAACATTAAATTTAATTAAGAAAATGACTTTTTTTCTTAATTCTTTTTCGATAATTTAGCTTTTTAATTATCCGGAATTTTGAATTATCCGAGCATATTTTTTCAAACCATGTCTCAAAGTGTCCAGATAATCATTGAAGTACTGCGTCATTTAATAATATATCATGTGCACTTAATTTGTATTTAGAGTACATGTAAGCCTTTTAAATTCCCGAGAATACTAAAATTCAAGCTTTGATGGCGTCTCTCTCCGATTTAATAATGGAGATAAAATAAATAAAATCTGACAGTCATTTTGTTCTACTGAAGAATAAGAAGTTGTCAAAGATCATGTGAAATTTTCCAAAATTTTTATTTATTTGATATAAAAATCAAGTGTATTGATTCAAAATCGATGTAACATCCTTGACTTTTTCCCTTCCTAACGAATAGTGATATCTATATATTTTAATTTTTAATTTACGATCGCATACTATTCTTTATGCACATAATTCTTCACTACGCGCGCACACAATGTTGGATATATTTGTATTAATAATAATAGAAAATAATATTATTTTTTTGTTTGGAGATTTTTTGTGTTTATGTTAGTGGGATGCCTCTATTAATATTATTCTCTCGCTCCTATGACTACAGGATAATGTTGTGGGCCAGAGACCTTTCTAATAACAGAATTCACAAAAGTATTTCTATCGATGTTTTTAAGCAAAATATGCAGACAAAATGTGATCTTTGAAATTGTTTCCAGTCGCATTCATAACTATCTTTCGTTCAGAAAATCTTATCACACGCAGATCTCGTTCTGAACAAAAACTCTTTTTAGAAAATTTTCTTTTCACAACAATCAGAATTTGGACTTTCCTCACTGTTAATCGACGACCAAGCGACCCGTAAATTTTTTTCCGATAACTCTTGTTATTAAATAAAGAAAATTATCTGACTTTCTTTCTTTCTTTCTTTCTTTCTTTCTTTTAATCTCTTTATTTTTCTTTTTCTCTTTGGTCTTCTGATTCGTGTTTTTCATTATCTTCTCTCTCTTTATGTTGTAGATATTATAAAATCGCGATTATTGACTATATTCACCTAACGCTTCTGTCTTAGGATTTCTCTCTTTTCATTTCAATAATTCTTTTAATTTTCTGTCACGTTTTTATTTATGTTTAACTTATTTTTTCCATTTCATCAAGTTATTTTCTTGGTGTCTTATTTTCTTCAATTCGAATTCGCCTTTCTTTCTTTCTTTCTTTCTTTCTTATGCACGCAATATTCAGATTTTTACATATCCTTTTCATTTTCTTTTGTATTGTATCTCAAGTTTCACTGAATTCACAAATCTTCTTATATATATATATATATATATATATATATATATATATATATATATATATATGCCCATAATGGATCTGAAAAGTTCTCGGCCATAACAAAACATCTGATCTTTATTCATTTGATCTGATTCTGAAATTGGTTCAAGCCGAGAACATTTCAGCACATTCTTGCATGTGATTTTTTAAAATTGTTCTTCTTTGCCTCGCAGGTTTCCGATTTTCTTCGACTCTCTTTTTATTCTCTCTTTCTTCACTGGAATATTGATATTTTTTTTTTTTTTTTTTTCTTTCACTTTTCTTCAGTTTTTACCGCCACATTTCTTTCTTCCTTTCTTTATACCTAGTCTGCGATTAACTTCTGATTCCCTTCTACTCCTCCCTTGCTCTGTTTTCCTCCTTTCTTTATTCGTCACGTCTTTATGTTTGTCCTTTCCCTTCGTTTCTGTTATTTCGGAATTCACCGGTAGTGCCCGCGGGTCATGCTCTGGCAAGCTGCTTGGCTACTGTCTCTGAACATTGATTCGCTGAAGTGATAGCTTACGCTGATTTACTAATTTTTAATTGGCTCCATCAGCGTGCCGGGATCGATATGGTGACACAGAGTCATGCTGCTCTGGAAAGAAAGGCTTGTAGACACCAAGCGACAGTTACGCCATATTGGATTCAGGTCGGTCTCATACCCGGGGCTAAACACAGGTCAAATGGATTCAGCACGGTACAAAGGAGAGAAAATAAAGAAAAACAACAAGGAAGAGAGAAGAATGAGAGAAAATTAGTAGAAAAAAGGAAGAAACAAATAATATAAAATAAACGCAGGAAGAACGAACATAATCATATAGCCATTCTTGCCGTTGCATAGAAAATTGGAAAAGGGTAGAAAATGGAAATTTCAAAATATATAGAATCAAAAATGGTGGAAATAAAAGCAAGAAAGGAATGCCAAAAAAGATTAAAGTTAGAGACAAATAAATGAAAAGAAAGGGACTGAGAGAGAAAGAAAGTGATAGATAGATAGATAGATAGATAGATAGATAGATAGATAGATAGATAGATAGATAGATAGGATGTGTGTGTGTTTTTGTGTTAGAGAGGATAATACTAATAGGGATATTGGTTAATAAAGAGAAGGGTTGAACGAAAGATGAGTTGAAAGAGAACATTGAAAAGAGATAATTTGAAGTATTAATAGTTTGAAAGGTCAAAAAGAACGAGAGAGAGAGAGAGAGAGGGGGGGAAGAGAGGAGTTAGGATAGATAGATAGATAGATAGATAGATGTGAAGATGTTAAAAAAATAGAAACGGACAGACTAAGATAGATATTGGCACACTGAGATAATACAGAGATGACGACAGATATTAACAAATAGAGATAGATAGAAAGAAAAATAAGTATATGTATATATATATATATATATATATATATATATATATATATATATATATATATTGAAAACACAAAATATAACTGTAGAAAGCGTCTATAAATAACAGAAACCCTCACCACAGAAAATATAACAATATAACATACAAACACGTCCAAAATGTACTGGCCATGCTCGGGGATTTAAAACATGTCGACATATCAGTAACTTACACACCATTTGCGATAGCACAAGCAAAATCCTTTGAAATAGCTAAGAGATTAACTGAGAGCGCTCGGGACGAAGAATTATTTGTACAAATATTGCATATACTATAGCCCTAAAGAAGCATCCTGTTTGCACACACACACACACACACACACACACACACACACACACACAAAAAAAAAACTCAAAAGAAATAACTTGTCAGTTATTTTCACTGAGACATATATAAGAAAGTAACAGCTGCTCCCCACGTATATATGACTTCAAACGTTATTATATTGGATACTCGTATTTGAAATAGACACAACATTTTTATTTTAAACAGTGTATTTTATGTCTATAGGACTGCGCATTTGAGAAATCTTAATAAAGATAAATGAGCTCTTCGGCAGTCTATTTCAAATACGAGTATCCACTATTATAATGTTTGAAATAATAAAAATTTAGGAGTAAAAATAAATGCATTAATTCTTTATACACACACACACACACACACACACACACACACACACACACACACACACATATATATATATTTAACAAGTACATATATAGATAGATTAGTAGATAGAAAAGTAAAATATTTACTTAACTCTATTCAGAGTTTTCACTCATCAATAGTAGATAAAACTATTTAAAAATCCAAAATACTTTTGTCACCTGATGAGGGGATTCCAGAATCTTCACTGAGGTTGAGATAAGTAAATATTTCTTTCTTTCTTTCTTTCTTTCTTTCTTTCTTTCTTTCTTTCTTTCTTTCTTCCTTCTCCTCCTCCTCCTCCCCCTCCTCCTTCTTTTTCATCTTCTTATTATTAAAAAATAAAAAAATAATAAAAATAATAATATAGTCAAGGAAGTACTTAAACTGCAATTAAAAGCACAGAGAAAATGACGACATGAAAAATAGCGTTGTAGGTTCTATCGACAAAATAATATATTCGAAATGGACCTCAAGAAATTTTACAGAGAAACTGGAAAAGGCAGTTTTATAAATCAAAATGCCACCATCTATTAAAGAAGTACAAATGTTTTGGAGCAACCCAAAGGAATATAATCCCAATGCAGTGTGGATCAAACGAGAACAAGTAAAAATGAAGGATGAACCTATACAAGAATGGAAAAATATAACCAAGAATAATGTTAGGCAAGCGTCCCAAAATAGAAATACCCAGGTACCAAACTTTTTCATCTGTCGACAATCCATAACATTCTTTCGCAAACTTTATCAATGCTACTTAATAACCCCAATGAAATTCCAGAATGGATCATTGAAGGTATTACATATCTCTTTCCAAAAACGGATGAAACAGATGACCAAAAATAAATTGGTCACGTCTGTCCTAACGAAATGAACTTATTCTTTTCCCGATGAAAACATAGAAATTTCAGGAAAAAAGGTAGAAATCTCAGCACTGCTTGGTTAGGTTACTCTAAAGCCTTTGATAGTGTACCACACTCTTTGATCCTTAAGGCTTTTCAAATGTACAAAGTCTCCTCGGTGATATTAAATTTCCTTGAATATAGCATGAAACTGTGGAAAACCACATTATACGTAAATCACGCCAAAGGTACTGCCAAATGTTACAATTGTTTGAATATCTGTCTAAGAATCTTTCATGGAGACTCCCTGACGTCCCTTTAGTTCTGTTTGTATTTACCCCCCCCCCCTTCGCATGAACTAAACAGTAATAACTATGGATACAAAGTAAAAAAAAGAAAGTGTTTAATCACCTATTCTACTTTGATGATATCAAATTCTTTGCCAAAGACGACAATGAGTTGAATACTGCAAAATGTTACAGTGATAACATCAGTATGGATTTCGGATTAGATATATATACAAAAGTAACATTCAAGAAAGAGAGAATTACAAAAACACATTCAATAAATCTAGATATTGTTACAAAGATTAGGGAACTGGAACAAGAACAAGCTTATAAAAATCTAGGAGCCAGCGAAGAAGATTGAATACAACATGCCCGAATGAAGAAGAAACAAAGAAAAAATACTAAAGGCGTGTGCGCCTCGTGTTAAATGCCGAATTGAATTCAGAAAACAGAATATCGGCCATAAACACTTTGGCTGTCCCTGTGGTGCAATAGTTTCAATATCTTTATTTGGATCATAAATGAAATTAAGTAAATGGATGTAAAACGAGAAACCTACTGACTAGTTATTATTTTTTTTATTAACAATTCATTGACAGCCTTTTAAAGGCATAATATAAAACTAGACCCACCTTCAGTATCTGCCTATATTTCTGTGATAAGGTATTGTAACTATTTACACTATTTACATTGTTCCTCACCTTTATTGCCATATTCTATAGTAAAGAAGGACCCAACAATGAAAACAGAAAAAAAACTGTCGTAGATCGTAATCAAGAACTAGGAACACTTCCCACCTGAGACATACAGGCAGTTGTCACAACGTTATAGTAAGTAAATATTTATCGGATCATTTTTGGTGTTTCGCTGTCTGCCTAATTACCGATGCAAATGATATTTAGTGAGTACAGTACAAGTGCAATGACAAATGGAATGAGAAAGAGTGTGCTGCGTCGATATGACCCCATTCAGATTGCCTGCCTTGAAAATCAGCATGTAATTTCTTTAAACTTTTACTTATGCTCAAGAATGACCACTGGCGTCGGAAACGTAACGGGTAAAAAGGATTGATGTATTTCTGACATAAAAGACAAACAAAAGTAAACTGGATTGATTTTTCTTCAATTTCAACTAAAAGCTAACTTTCATAATTTTAAAATACGGAAGCCACAAAAAGAAAAAGAAGTTGCGTTTTCGTTTTAATCGCCGACTAGAAACTGAATTCACGATGATAATTTAGGGTCAAATTTCAACAGTAATTTCATCTTAGATAAACAAAATGTTTCAACTTCCGAACGGTCAGTATTGTGTATCTTTTTAGTTGTCAAGTTTGACAAGTTGTCAAATTTTTATAGTTTTGCCTAACGAAGAGGCTAATGTTACTAAAACATAAGAAAAGAAACCCCCCAAAAAAACCCCCAAAAAACAAAAAAACAAAACAACAAAAAAGCAAAAACGAAGCAATATATAACACATAATTCTAGGTCTTTCGTTAGCCACTACCAAACCAAAACTTTTCTTAAGCAGTGAGATTTGACACGTTAAGTTTATTTATTTAGTTCACACCAGTTCTGGGAGCTACGAGTTAAGTTAGGTTTGTGTAGTAAGACAGCCCAATTACCTCCCCTGTCTTATGATTTGTATACATAAGCCACGCCGTCTTAGCCAGAACGCCAAGACTCTTCAGTTATGTGCAATAAAGGCTAATTAAACCAAACTAGTCTTTGAGTTTTCATTACAATTTATTGAACGTAATTATCGACAAATAACTTAAACTAGAACGTCACGACTTGGACTCTACAGACCCGTCTTCTACTGACGTCTGGCAATATTGGAAACAGTTATTCAAAGGATTCTTGCTTGCACTTGAAAAGAATTCATCCACTCCTATTATTGATACGGATAGACAACCTGCTAATATAACACGTTTTCATATCCATATATACCAATATTTCTCACTGCAAAATTTAACAGAGTGCCATAGATGTTTTGGATGGAATTTTTGTGAAGAGACGAAACATAATCTTTGCCTGGCATGTATTAGCAACTATTCACTAATTCCCTGAAGAGGGTTTAGAACAGTATTTTCAGCGACGTACAGGCGACCACGGCAGATCAGGCAAAGGACGAATTTATCAGACTCCTTTACAAATGGATTAGAATCGAACTATATCCATCAAAGATTGCTGGAAAATAAACAACTAATTTACCTACTGCTCGCGAGCAGACACTTACCTTGGAGTTGGCAGAAAAGCAATCATGTTAATACCTACAAACAAGTGTTTCAGAGGCTGCACTAAGTACTCACACTCATAGT